AGGGGAACAATTAAATGTGTTTTCTTTCAAAATCTAAAGGGCATGGCAAGCAGCCTGTGTGTTCAGCAGGCTACTTTAATCAATGGAAACCCCTTCCAGCCTGCTACTGCTGACCAAATTACAATTTACATTGGTAGTGAAAACTTTGGGAAGGGTGAGGAGGATGGAATACAGTTTTTATTCCAACACAGCATTGCAGGGCAAGAGAAGACTTTATGGTTTCCTAATGTGCCTCTCGGAGATCCTTTGATGCACTGAAAAGTGCATTAATGTAAAATGACAATAAGGGCTGCTAGAAGGGATGACCTATCCCCCACATGCACAGGGCTTTTTCAGGGCCTGGGTAATGTGTAATTCCCAATTAAGGCCTATTGTGAGGACTAAAGGAGTGCATGGATTTTTGCAAGCACCTCTCCTCAGGGGTGATCATCATCGCACATGCATATGTATTTCATGAAGGCATGGACAACATGCATGAGGATTTCAGTCACATATGACAAGATACCATGCATATGGCCACAATGGTATTATTATGGTCATTAATATTATGCATATGACATTCCCTTTGCCTCCCCTCCCGATATTAATACCACACATTCACTCCAAATTTGCTTTGCAAAAATAGCCGAGTGTAACGCAATGTCAAGTTTGTATTTCTGTTTGGGGTGGCAGAATAGGACAGAGAGAGACAAGGTGATATTAGAAACAAAACACGAAGTCTGTAACCAGATGAAAAAAAAATTCTATGTCAGTAGTATCAGTTCCTCTTTCAGTACAGAGACAGAATGGATTTAAAGGGTATTTAGAAAGTTGGAAAGGCAACTCAAATTGCTTAGGCTCACAGTTTTCTAGCCACTCACTTTCATATTTATTTGTTAGAGTCTTATAGTGTGGTTTCTAATGCCATACAAAGAGGCAGCACCTTCCAATAGCGCATGTCCCATGCACTGTCTGTGCCTGATCAATCCACAAAGGGGGGAGTCATTGTGTTCATCATACATGAGTTCAGTTTATTTGCGCCATGAATAAAAAAGTTGATCTTGATAGCATAATTACATTCCTTAACATTATCCTCTGACGTTAGCCTCAGAAAAAAAGAGCAAACAAAAAAGTTGACTTTCCTCTAATTTGCTATCAAAATGGCTACACTTAAAATATAATTTTGTTTCCTTGATTTCATTTCCTGTGGAGCCAACAGATAATATTAAACCAAATCTTCAAGTGCATAATGCTCATGTCCCCTGGACTGTCATCATCTGGATCACATTGCTGCTCTCCCCTCCAGCCTGGAATACATTTTTCACATGGTACTTTTATCTTTGAGATTTGCCAGAATCAGAAATCCCACAGGCAAATCAACACCCGTTCTGTACTCTCCCCAAAATGTCCCACCTTCCCTAATTTGCTTTTGTGATGTTAAAAAAAAAAAAAAAAAAAAAAAAAAAAAAAAGCCAGTGGTTTTCCCAGTATGAAGGATTAGCACAGATTATGGTGAACAGTGTTAATTATAGGTGGGGAAAGAGAATAGTGCATCACTCCAATCCGTTCTTGATTTCCCTTGTGTCTGTCTGGCTGGTAATAAGCCTCCTTTAATCTGGCAGTCCCCTTGGTGAAATCAGCACCACGGACAGCAATATTGATTGCTTCTGAGAAACCATCACAGCTGCTCACCCAAATTACCTTTGATATGTGACCTTTAATGTAATTACTGCAACATCAAAGCATTTCTATAAATTATTAAAGAAATAATATACTTCATCATCCAAATACTCTATTATATGTAAAATAAACAATCACTAGTAAATGTTAGAATTTGAAAATCGCCCAATGCTCACAACAGTGTTCACACACGCACACACACACTCGTGTCTTACCCCTTCATTTTTAGACAAGACAGACTTTCCAACTGTCCAAACAGTCTAATGTATTCAATCAAAGGACGTTCACTAACAATCTGATCTTTTACATTTTCTGTTCCAGTGGCTGCAAAAATATCTATCACAATTCCCTTCCTCCCTCACCTCTTCCCACCCCCCAGTTGGGGGGGTGGGGGAGACAAAAAACCCCCAAAAAACAAATACTATAAAGACTTGATTAATCAACACGTACCTGCTTGGAAGTCTTTTGATTATTCCACAAGATGACTTTATGTCCCACATATAACATGGCAATACGTGAAACATATTTCTGTCATCTTACAAAGCACATCCAGAAAGTAATTACTGTAAAATATGTGCATGTAACCACTCCACTAAAAAAACACAGTGATACATAGCTGAAAGGCAGATGCCTGGATCTGGGCACAAAATGCTGGTGCCTTGCCATTTCCATACATTTGCATTTATGTGCATGCTATTAAAAATTACTCAATTCTGTGTTTTATAATAGCAGATACACATGCGGCAGGAATGCAAGGGAAGGTCCTATGCATTTTACAGGGAGGAAAAGGCCTCAATTCAAACATGTCCTTTTCCCCCCTTTTTCATACTGTACTTATTAATTATTTTCATACTTCCTCAGTAGTACTGCTAGTGTCACTGATACTGGCAGGTCAAGACAATGTGTTATATATGTGTCATTTGTGAACTCATGTAAGAGAGGATTGGACCCTTGACCTAAGGAGTGCTTCTTATTTTATGGTGATGAACTATGCTTGATATTGCCAGGGCATGTTATCAAACACAGTTAGGTATGTCATAAATAATTCTTTGCTACTCACTTAGGAGCTATAAAACAGTACCTAGGCATGATAGTTTATCAAAAGACAAGGATTGTTTCCTTAAATAAACTACAGTGACATCATTCAGAGGCTGAGTTTAGGAACTTGGTGAAGGGATGGCCACAGCCAGGCGGCTGTGTGTGTTGGGGCAATGGGGGTGAATGGGAATAGTTAAATTAAAAACGAGAGGAATTGGAGCTACCAGATTTTAAGGATTGTTTATAAAAATCCTTATGTATCCATCATTCATTGTTTGGACAGATTGTAGTCTCAATGATCTTTCAGTTTAGGGCATACAAGAGGAATAACACTTCTGAAGTCAGTGCATTAGTCTCGATTCATAAAGGATGCAAATGAGGTCTAAAGCTAATAAAAAGAGAGGTTCTCAGAGCATCACCAGACCAGCAATAAACCCCCCAGGGTGAAATTCTGGCCCCGTTATCATCAATTTGTGTTTTGCAATTGGTTTTAGGACAGCCAAGTTTCACCCTAAGAGCTTGGCTGTTTAAAAAGTTCCTACAAAAAAATCTCAGGTTTGCAACCGATCCCTGTTTTCTAAACATGGTGAGCACAAAGAAACTCCCATCGTCTCTTGTGGAGATATTCCAATTTTATAGCAACACCTCCGAAATAAGACTCCGGCCTTGGAGAAATGGTACGAGTCCTGTGCTGGACTAAGTGTCCCAATTTTCAAGTCTTGAGTGCCCAACAGCTTCCAAAATGAATGAATGTTACTGCATACTTCGTAACTTTGAAACCCAGGCCACCTGCTTCATCTTTTCCATATGGATTAACTTTGAACATGTTGATTTTGTTTTCACGTGTACGGCTCAATCCAATCTCGACTCAGGAACCATTGTTTGAAACATCCCTAATCTAATTGTTTATGATTTTTTTCCCCCCTTTTACTTATGCTTTAGTCTGCAGCTAGTCTCAGGCATGGAAAATGAGAGGGATAGAGAAAGAGACTGCAAAGAAAAAGTAAAAAGAGGAAATCACTTGAGAGAAGTAACAATAAGACTGGAGCCACTGAGATGGTTCAGACAGAGGCTGCAGCTAACCAGTTTCTGGATGAACTATTTTGATGGAGACATCACCTGACAGCAAGGTATTTTTAGGGAACAAAATATATGCATTTACATAAAGCATGCCCTTTATGACGAAGGTAGGACCAGATGAGTAAGCATGTGGGCATCTCTGCATTGGCTAGATGACAAAGAGACAGGTAAGCAGAGATCTATACAGAACAAGGGAAGTCTTGGGAGCAGCAGTAACCATTCCTCACACAATGATAGCAACTTGTATACTTTGGCAGCATCTCCCAGTTCACACACAGAGGTAAATTATAGGCAAATAGGTTGTTTTTTTTTTTCTTTCCCCAAGCAGAACTGTCTAGACAAACAAGCTTCCTCCTAACTGCATCATTCCCGATGTGCCTTCACCCCCCCCCC